CTGCATCTAAATTGTAGCAAAGTTTTACGTTTGTTTGGTTTTTTTTAATTCACCTAAAAACTGTGGTCCACACGGGGAAGAAGGTTTTAAAACGGGGTCCGGGACAGAGACTCTTCGCTGCTGGTGGGAATGCAAGACGGTGCAGCCACTCCGGAAGACAGTTCGTCCGTTTCGTGCAAAACTCAACGCACTCTCACCGCACGATCCAGGAGCCACACTCCTTGGTATGTCCCCGGTGGAGCTAAGAATTTAGGTCCACACCAAAAACCTGCACAGCGTCACGCGTAACTGTCCAAAGTCGGAAGCAACCAAGAAGTCCTTCAGGAGGCGTGTGGACAAATGGAGTGTGGTCCATCCGGACAGCGGAATGTTACTCAGCGCTGAAAAGAAGTGGGCTCCCAAGACACGAGAAGACCCGGAGGAAACGCAAACGCGTGTTACTATGTGAAAGAAACTGGTCTGAAAAGGCTACACAACAACGTAGGATTCCGACTCTGTGACGTTCCGGAAAAGGCAGAGCTGGGGAGGCAGTACAGGGATCGGTGGTCGTCGGGGTTTGGACGGAAGGGAGGGATGAGCAGGCTGAGCCCAGAGGATTTGGGGGCAGGGAAACGACTCCTCGTGACACCGTAGTGGTGGGTACGCGTCGTCACGTGTTTGTCCAAACCCACAGAACGCGCACCCCCGAGAGTGAAGTCATATAAAAACATAGACTTTAGTTAACAATGACATATACATTATTTTTTTTTTTTTAAGAAACAGTGCTCTCAAGCATGGGGGCGAGCAGCCAGGGCTGTGGGGTCGCCAGTGCTGAGCCGCATCCTGGCTGGTGACCCCAGGCCCTTTGCTTCGCTTCTCTGAACCTGCCGTCTTCACCTGTCATGTGAGTGCTAACACCCCCTTGGCAGGGCTGTTGAGAAAACCAAACCCGTGTCCGCGGGGCCTGGCTGAGACCGTGAATCAGGACAGGGAATGACAAGACTCTGCTCCCCCTTCTCTGAAGAGGCTTCCTCAGCTCTGAGAATGACCCACGTGTGCACTTACAGGAACCGGAAACCACAGACACCTCCCCCACCTGTGTCCCCCTTGCCCACCCGCAGTCCCTCCCTGCCAGTCCAGCTCCGCTCTCTCGACCCCACCCTCCCACCCCAGCCCCTGAGGCCCATTATTCCATCACCACTCCAGGCCTCTGGGCCTTTGCCCTGGCTGTTCCCTCTGCCTGGAACTCCTCTCCCAGTTAATCCTCACGGCTCGTGCCCCTCACCTCGGTCAAGCTCAGACATCACCTGCTGGGGGGCCGCAGGGGGGCTTCCTGGCACGGCCTGCTTTAAACGGTAAGTGATGAATCACAGAATTCTCCTCCTGAAACCCTAACGCTCTGTGCGTTAACTAACATTGAAATTTTAAAAAGGAAGGAAAAGTGAAGATTCCATTTTACATTGCATAAAAAATAAAATAAAACGCTCCGTTAAAACAAACAACCGAACGGTAGCCCCTTGCCCTCTGCCCTGGCACACGGGCCCAGCCTCACCTGCTGGTGGCCCTAACCGCCTCCACTGTGGCTCACCTACCGCGTCTGAGCACATGGCCTCCCCCTGCAGAGGCAGCTCCCGCCGGCAGGGCCTCTGTCCCTCCCAGTCACTGCTGTGGGGCTGGGGCCCCGAGCGGTGTGTAGCAGGCTGGGGGGACTTGGGGCGCCTGTCCACCCAGTACCTCTGCCTGGATGGCCGCGGTAGCCCCTCCCCCACCCCCGCTTCCCTCTCCCCCCAGCGGCCTCCGCAGGCCTCACAAAACTGCCCCCAGGGGTGGCACAGCTGAGGTTGAGTCACCGACTCTGGGTTTCGGCTCAGGTCAGAGTCCGTGTCTGGCTCGCACTGGGCATGACACCTGCTTGAGATTCTCTCTTTGTCCCCTCTGCCCCCCTCCCTCTCTCTCTCTCTCATTTATTTATTTAATAAAATAATAAAATAAAATTAAAATAAAATAAAATAATAAAATTGCCTTGGGGGTGTCTGGGTGGTTCAGTCAGATGAGCGACTGACTGTTGATTTCAGCTCAGGTCAGGATCCCAGGGTCGTGAGATAGAGCCTGAGGCAAGGCATGGAGCCTGCTTAAGATTCTCTCTCTCTCTCTCTCTCTCTCTCTGTCTCTCTGTCTCTCTATCTCTCTCTCCCTCCCTCCCTCCCCCTCTGCCCCTCTCCCTGCCTGCCCCATATATATGAAATAAAATGAAATAAAATAATTAGTATCATATATTGCCTCAGCTGTTGTCAGCCCAGGGCCCTCCACTGCCCACAGACAAACCTAACCTTTGACCCCAGCCCAGCAGACCCAGGAAGGCCCAGAAGACCAGAGGAAAAGGACAGGGAGTGGGGAGGCCCGGCAGGCACGCCCCAGAAGGCACTCTTACGCGGAATAACGTCTGACCCATGTGTGGGCCCAACACCCAGCAGCAGGCCAGGCCGGCCCAGGCCAGAGACCCCCACACAGCCTCCAGGCCCCGCTCTCCCGCCTCATCCGGACCCTCCGGCTCAGACACGCTCACCGGGCCTTCTTCACGACCTCTGTCCTCCCCTGGCCTCCAGACCCCGTCCCAGCTGAGCACACGGTGCCCCCCCCCTCCTTCAGCTTCCCTGAGTGTGCGGCTGATGCTCCCTGCCCGCCACTGCCCGGGCCAGTCCCTTCTCAGCCTCTGCCCGGTGGGCTTAAAGCTCCACAGCCTGTCTTCCCGGCCTGGTCTGTAGGAAGCTACCGTGTGGCTAGAGTCAGGCAGGACCAGTGGGAGCCTGCAGGAGACGCATGGTCCGAGCCCCTACACGCACTGCACACCGACTGCATGTGCCGGGCACGGCGCACGGCCCGGCACGGCACGCTTTGTGTGTGTGAGCTCGAACTCCTCTCCTGCGGTCCTGGGGCCTGGCTCCCCTCCCGCCGTGCGCCTGCCTTCCAAGGCACAGGACAGTACAACGGAGCAGTCCCAAGTCCCTCAGCCCCGCCGAGGTCAGTGATCCGTCCACCCGCAGCTTGCCCCGTGCCTCGGTTTCCTCCTTAGGCAGACAGTGGGGTGGGGCCACATTGGGAGGGTGTCGCTGAGGAAGAACTGTGCTCAGCCCCTGCCATTAGGGCCCTGAGACCGGACGTCATGAGTGTGGCTGTTAGGATTATTGTTATTATTATTATTATTATTATTATCATGGATCCCCAGGGGAACTGGGATCAGGCCCTGACTGAGGACAGACCCATCCCACATGTGTGCTGACCGCCGACCCGCTCCCCGGGTGCTCTGGGCTTGGGCAGGGCCTGGGGGTCCGGAGAGGAAAGGGCCCATCCTGACAGTAGGGTACATACTCATGCTCCCCGTCAGGAGCACAGATGAGAAAAGAGATCTGGGGCCAACCATCCAATGCTATTGTTTCCCTAAGATCCTCACATGAGGGTCACAGGGCGCCAAAGGCAGGAAACTGAGGCCCACCGAGGGACGGAAGGGCTTGCCTCCGGCCACGTGTGCCCAGGGTCACGTGTGTGGCTCAAAATCCCATGCTTGCTCCCCGTGGAGGACAACCTCCAGGTATCCGTTACCATCTCCCCCGGAGGTGGTGGGGGACCGTCCCCAGAAACAGTATTATCGTTGGTCCTCCCAGCACCGTGCGTTTGAGAAAGCCAGGGAGCCGGAGCGGGGGTCAGGTGGGTCACACCGGTGGGTGTGGGGAAGGCCCCCTCGAAGCCAGACCCCTGCAGGCCTGATTCCCAGGTTGCGATCGGGCCCATGACGCCATCAGCTGAACGTCGCGGGGGGGGGGGGGGGGGGGGGG